CGCCGCTAGCTTGGAGCCAATCTCCGGACTGCAGCGTGGAGCTTGCGTAGGTTCACGGTCGCGTCCGCTGCCTCAGTTTCACGGGCCATCTCTGCTAGTCGCTGGCGGCGATCGGCTCGTACAGCATTCGCTGCAGCTGTGGCGGCTTCGTCGAATTCGTGCTGGAGGATGGCGCAGGCGTGGGCGTCGCGGTCGTGGCGTCTAGCCATGCGTCGTTGAATGTTGTGCTTGTGGCCGATCAGCTGGAGGGTCTCGTCTGCGAGCTTGGGTCTGACCACCTTCCTCGGTTGGAACTGGGCATGCGGCGCCGCTGCCTCAATCACTGCGCGCTCCAGCGCGTTGAAGTAGTCGGGCGGGGTCGGGTACTGCACGTTGTCGCCGCGCACCTCGCTCCACGGTTGGGTCAGATGTCTTTGCTGGAGAAGGTCGTGGAGAGTAGACCGTAGCGCGGTCACTCGTGGTGGTAGTTCAGCCTGGCGGTCCCGCAGGAGGCGAAGGTTGTGGACAAAGGCGTCGCGGTCCCAGCGAGCTGGTTTCGGATCGTGGCTGCGTCGAACGCGTTGTCCCGCGTAAATGGTCGCGGCCACTGGGCGGTGGTCGCGATATCCGCCGAGGCTGACAGGCAGGTCGTAGATCGAGGCTGCCCTGGTGCCGTAGGATCCGTTGAGCCGCACGCATATGTAGTCCATGGTAGTCCAGCCCGTGCCTGCGTTGTGTTTCCAAGTGCCGTTCTGGCGGTTTCGCTTCCCGGACGTGTTGAGGGCCGCCATGTGGAAGGTCTGCAGCAAGTCGAGAAGGCGGGCTCCGTTGGCGTTCGTGGCGGTGCATCTGCGGCGCTGTCCGGCGAAACCCACATGTGGTAGATGAGGAGACATTGAGGCGTTCGCATCCATAGTCATCACGAGTGCAACTCGCTGGGACAGTTGGTTCAGGGCCGTCCGGCAAGCGCCCCAGAACTTATGCTGGAGGTCGCGGTGGGCGGCTGCAAGTAGGTGTTGGTCGCCTCCTGCTCGAGCGTGGCTGACTTCGTTGAGTGGGGCGTAGTCGTTCAAAATGTAGATCTCTCTTTTTTTTTCTCTCTCTCTCTCTCTCTCTCTCTCTCTCTCTCTCTCTCTCTCTCGGGGTCCTGTGCGGGTCAAGCGCAGGCCGTGCAATCCGCCGTCCATCTACGCGAGGGAGACGCGGAGCTCGGAGAGGGAGAACACCTTCAAATCGAAGGCAATGATGCACCCATCGCGGCTGGTGCGCGTAGTGCGCGGGGTCGGTGCGATGCGATAGCCCTCGGTGGTCCACGGAATTCCAAGTTCCAATAGAGTGCTCTGAAGACAACCACGGCGACCTTCCTGTCACTTGCCAGTCTGAGTAATTCACCCAGTCGGTCGGCCCTGAGGAGGCTCTCGCAGTTGCAAGTCCAAATCGTGAGAAGCTGGTTGTTGCGTTGATCAGGGCGTCGCTGGCGACAATAGTACCTGGCGGCGCTGGTGGCCGCTGAGAGAACAGTCTCTGTGTGTCGAGCTGGTGTCGTACCTGAAGGAGGGCCGGCAGAGGCAAATCTCGCTCCTGGAGTCGGGAATTCACGAAGATCAGGGATTAGTGCGGCAGCCGCGGCACGAGTACACTTCTTGCCATGGTACCACACAGACCCGTGCAATATCAAGGCACGCACCGCCCGTCGAAGGGCCCGTTTGCCACCCTTGTGCTCAAGCTCCCCATCGATCCCTCCGAACTTGGTCGTCATGCGCGATGGGTCCAGGACGGTTGAGCGGCCGTCCAGCGCTCACCTCGCCGACCGCCTCGGTGTCATTGGTCCTCTCCACCGCGATGTTTGGCAGCACCGGGCTGCTAGCAGCGCTTGGCGATGCCCATCGCGGCAGGGGAGGAGGGACGGTCGTGTGTCGGGCTGAGACTTGCGACCCAGCACACCGCGAGCACGCTCGGTGTCTCTCGAGCCGTCGAGGCTTACGCGGAGGCATCGCCGCAACCGCCGATGCCCGATCAGCGCGCTCCCCAGCTGGCACCGGCCCGACGCGCCACCCGATGTCCGCCGCCTCCGCGCGGGACCCGTGGACCTCGATGCCGAAGGCCGCAGCCTTCAACGACGCGTACTCGCCGATGTCGGTCTCGGGAACGGTCTGTACGGGCAGCACCTCACCCTGGTAGGACGCCAAGCCCCGATCTCCGATGCGGCGAGCCACGCTGCCCGCCGGCACTAGCGCGCCGAGCCTCCGCCGAAGGCCAAGCTCACTGACCAGCCAGCCGCTGGGCTCCGAGCGGGGCCCAGGGGCAGCGGCCCAAAAATCCTCGGGGGAACCGGAGCCTCCGAGGGCGGGGGCAGCGGCGGAGGCGTGGCCGTGCTCGACACGCCAGGGCTCTCGAGCGCGGCGGGGGGCCTCCTGCCGCGGACCCGGTGCGGGGTCAGCGGAGCGCGGCGGCCGTCTTCGCTCTCGAAGTGCGAGGGGTCCGTCGGCACGGCGCGAAGTGGCTCCACCGCGCGGAGGCCAGGCGCCTCCGACTTGGCATCGCTGGTGAGCGCCCGCAGCTCGTCATCTGTCGGCATGTGCCCGAAGGAAACCATCCTGGCGCCATCATCGGGCAGCGACCGCGGCGGCTGCCCTCCTGTCATCTTGCGCACCTTCTCCCAGTCACTCTCCTCCTCGACGTGCAGATGGCCCCCTGGGGTCACCACGATCCAGGAGCCCTCAGGGCACGGCCAGACCAGCACCCTCTCGTGGCGGAAGCCTGGGCCATTGGCGAAGGGAACACGAGCAGCTGCGCCCATGAGAGCCACCCGCCCTCCATTGATCAGCACACGGCGGCCCGGCGTGGCCGCCACCGACAGTGCGCGGCGCCGACGCTGGCAGCACCAGGCGAGCAGCGCCAACAACTCGAGCAGGCCGAGCCCAGCCGCGGCGACCAGCGGCGCGCCGTCAGGCGTCGCCAGGTCCGCCCAGACGGGAGCGGCTGCGAATGGCGGCGGCGCCGCTCCGAAGGCCACCCCTGCCGGCAGCGGCGAGGGCGGCGGGCTGGGCGGCGAAGGCGCCACCTCGCAGATGCAGCTGCAAGCCGCCTCCCAGTGCGGCGCCTCCTAGCAAGTGTCCGGCAGCTCGGCGAGAGCCCACCCGCTGGCGGTGTAGCCCGCCGCCGAGCCCGCGAGCCAACCCCATAGCAAGGGGGCCACCACGGACACCCAGGCAACTATCGCGGCCTGGGAGGGCGTGAAGGCCATCGAGCGACAAACCCCTGCCTTTCAGCTTGAGCCCCGATGTTTACGAGGACCAAGCGGCGTCAGAGCGACGCAAAGAAGAGACGACACCCAAAAAACTTACAAACCATTCCCGTGCACGCACTGCCATTCCTCCCTTCTGCGGCTCTTGCGAATCGACGCTTGTCGACGCTAAATCGACGCTAAACCGGCGCCTCACCAGACGCTAATCGACGCTGGGGCACTATAAAAGCATGATTTCGAGGGCATGCAAGATCCCAATGATTCTCTACCGAGCCTACGGTCGGGAACTGTTGCTTCGCGTGTCGCCCCGACGGCCCCGGCGACACGCTGTACCCTGCAAGCGGATAGCGTGTCGCCCGCTCCGCGGGGCGGGAGGTCGGGGAACACTCAGGACGTTGGGCGGCAAGGGGCCGGGAAGCGGATAGCGTGTCGCGCCGAAGCGTGGTGGGCCAGAACTGGAGGCGCGCCACGCATGGCATTCCCCACCCCCCCTCCGCCGCCATTTCGAACAGCGCTGGGCCGAAAAGGCGAACAGGTGTACAGTTGAGCCTCGACTCGAGTGCATTGGGCGTCGCTGAAGGGTGGGGCGATGCATGGGGGGGGAAGAAAGGCGCACCTTTCCGTGGCCGTGGCCGACTCGCCGTGGCCGACTCAAGCCAAGAGGCCTGAGTCAGCATGGCCACGGAGGAGGGAGGGAGAGGAGGGAGGAAGTGGCACTAATTACTTCGTGGAGCTCCGAACCGTTCTGTGCGTCGAGCCGTCGCTTGAGCCATCAGACCTCGAGGGCGAACACGATTTGGGAGATGTCTACGGCTTGGGAGGAGAGGAGAAGAGTAGGAAAAAAGGAGAGGATGGGAAGGAAGGCGAGTGGGGAGGAGATGGAAGCGGAGGAGGAGGGGTAGGGAGGGAGGGGGATGTGAAGGGGGGGGGGAAGAGGATAACTAGTTCGCAGGGGGGGAGGAGGGCTGGAGGAGGGGGAGGAATGTGCTCCCATCGGGACAGCCGATGCTCGCCTTCTCCTCACACGCTTTCTTATGCCTTGCTTTCCGAGCCGGGCTCGGCTGCGAACTGTCGTGCCACTGTGCCCCGACCCGACAGCCCTGCCAGGGGGGGGGAGAAGGAAGCAGGAACATGCAGCGAAGGAAGGAGGGCGAGGGAGGGATGGAGGGAGAGGAGGGAGAGAAGGAAGGGAGAAAGGGAGGGGAGGAAGGGATGGAGGGCAAGGGACGTAGGAGAAGGAGGACTGACCGACCGGACGGCCTGGGGGATTTGGGAGGAAGAAAGGTCGGGTGTTGCCAGGTGCCCCTGGCCTAATGTGCCCCCAGGATTTCCAAGGAGGCCTCCAGAGCATCCCTTACGAGGCCTCCAGAGGGCGCCAGTGGGGCTCCAGAATGGAGCGAAAAACTGGGTACACCTTGGGCCAGGGACATCTTTAGCTAGCAGCCCCCTAAGATCAGGGGCAACCCTCGGGGGGGACGGCTCAGGGGAGGAAACGTCGACCTGGAATCGGCGGCGATGCATCGCCGACAAATCGGCGAAGGGCCCCGATTGCAAATCCGCGCGGTCCTGGGCTGGGTGGGCAATCACGCCCCCTTGGGGTTATCCATGGGCAATCGGGGGCCGATGCTATTCTCCCCTGACAAATGAGCCCTGAGCCTATCCCCCCTAACATTGCCCCTGAGAGGAGGGGAGGGAGGGAGGGAGGGCGAGGAGGGGAGCAAGGGAGGGAGAGCGGCGGGAGGGAGAAAAGGAGGAGGGACGAGAGGAAGGGCTCCTCGGGAGAAGCCGAGGCCTGCCAGGGCCCTCGCCAGGATGCCGAAACGCCTCGCGAAGTCCGCCAGCGGCATGCGCGCGGGGAAGCCGGCGCGGGAGATGCGGATCGCCTGGTCTGTTCAGATTTCCCCCTCCGCCAACGATGCGACCATGACTGCGCAAACCTCGCGCGATGCGTAACACCACAACAGTGCAGCGGAGATTGTTATTTCACTGTCTCCGGTAACGTTAACGACGCTTGGGCGGGGTGGGGCACGTCGGGGCGGGGGGGCGCTGCGACCGCCATGGTATGCGCACGAGCGCCAGCATTTGGGAGGGGCGGGCGCCCCCGCCACGCACGATCTTCGCTATTATCTCAAGGCAGGATCAGGCAGCATCGAATTGGAAAATCATGACGAAGCGAAAAGCGCGACGGCTCGGGCCGCATCGGCATGGAGACGGAATCGGATCGAATCGGCCGAGCCAGGATGCACAACAGTGCCGTGCAAGCATCGGTCCGCATCGGCTCGTCAGAACTTCGGAGTCGAATTGCATCGGTCCGGCCGAAATCGATATCGAACCACATATATCGGATCGCAGTTAGGGGGGTCAGGTCCGGGGGGCAGGGAACTCTACGCGCCAGGAGGTAAGCACAAAACGGCCTGGCGTGGAGGCGCCAAGCAAGTGACGAGAACAGCACAGCCAGGAGGAGAGCAGCAGAGGCGAGGAGCAAGAGTAGAGAAAGAAACAGAGCGTGTTGCGTGTATTGCTATCAGCTGTCCTCCTCGTCCTCTCCCCCTGGTCGCCGTCGTCTTCCCCCTCCTCATCCTGCGCCTCCTCCTCCTCCTCCTCCTCCTCCTCATCGTTGTCATCTTCGCTGTCCTTCTCTTCCGTGAGCCAGGGGGAAGACTGGAAGACTGTGAGGCTGGCCGAGGGGCAAAACAGTGCCTCGATGACACCAGCACAGCGGAGCTGCTCCACCACCATCATGTTGTCAACCTCTGCCGCGGACTTGTTCTTATTAGGCTTGATGCATCTGACGTACTGCGTCGTTGTCTGGCCAATCGTCTCCATGAGCTGCCCCAAGGACGACTTGAATTTAGTCATCACGGTGTCTGGTTTTCTGGCGCTCTCAACCTTTTCCGCTCCGTCCTCCACGCTGAACACCTTTGCGACAACTGGATTCGATGAAGTGCGCATAAGTGCAAATAAATCTTCTGATATCGTGTCTCTGTTGCGCTCAAGCCAACCAGATGTAGTGTACGTAACACTGCCGGCATAGTGTCGGATTGTGAACTGCCGCTCTCTATCAGCTCCAAGCTTCGGTGTAGAGAATGCAGGGTCCTCTTGGTGAACTGTTTTAAGCTTGGACACGAAGTTTTCGTCCGACCCCTTTGGACGCACGCACTCTTCGTTTAGCATTGCAATAATGCCAAGCTTTGCTTCGATCAGCGAGAGTAGTGGAGCATTGTCTTTGAACTCGATGCGGTCCCATGGAATGCCTTCCTCTGCATCCGCAGACCCTCCTAAGGGCACCAGTCGTAATATTCCAGAGGCGGCTCTCCAGATGCATGACAATCGTTGCGTGAACTGCATCAGCGACATCACGAAGGATACAGCAACAACAACAACAGCAACAACAACAACAATCAGTTTAAGACTGACCGCTTTTATCTGCTCGACTGTCCGTTAACGTGTACTTCCCAAACCCTCGATACCCTTCTGGGGGGTATACCTTTCTTTCCTGCAGGCCGGGCCCCGGCAAGCGGCGGGGCGGCCGCGGACCGTCGGCCTGGCCAGCGGCAGCACTGATCGGCGGCAACCCGGCCCCAAGAGGGACGGACAGGGGACCGACCATGACGACGACGACGACGTCGACGACGTTGACGACGTCGACGACGGCGACGACGACGACGATCAGCGAAAGCGAGAGATAAAACGATAGCACGGCCACGAAGGGCACGAAGTAAGCCACGAAGGGCGACAGCGGGGACACGAAGGGAATGCGTACGGGGCCACGACGGGCGCGAACGAGCGGGTACCACGAAGGGCAGATAATGCGGGGCCACAGAAGGCAACGACGGGGCCACTGAGGGTAGCACCTGGGCCACGTAGGACAGCGAGGGGGCCACAACGGGCGACAGCGGGGCCACGAAGGGAATGCACATGGGGCCACGACGGGCGCGAACGAGGGGGCCACGAAGGGCATATGTATATTGGGCCGCGAAGGGCAGCGAGTGGGCCACGAAGGGCTGCAACGGGGCCACGAAGGGCAGCGAGGGGGCCACGAAGGGCTGCACCGGGGCCACGAAAGGCAGCGAGGGGGCCACGAAGGGCTGCACCGGGGCCACGAAGGGCAGCGAGGGGGCCACGAAGGGCTGCAACGGGGCCACGAAGGGCAGCCAGGGGGCCACGGAGGGCTGCACCGGGGCCACGAAAGGCAGCGAGGGGGCCACGAAGGGCTGCAACGGGGCCACGAAGGGCTGCAACGGGGCCACGAAGCCACGAAAGGCAGCGAGGGGGCCACGAAGGGCTGCAACGGGGGGCCACGAAGGGCTGCAACGAGGGCATGCAACGGGGCCACGAAGGGCTGCAACGGGGCCACGAAGGGCAGCGAGGGGGCCACGAAGGGCTGCAACGGGGCCACGAAGGGCTGCAACGGGGCCACGAAGGGCTGCACCCGGGCCACGAAGGGTAGCAAGGGGGCCACGAACGGCTGCAACGGGGCCACGAAGGGCAGCGAGGGGGCCACGAAGGGCTGCAACGGGGCCACGAAGGGCATCGAGGGGGCCACGAAGAGCTGCAACGGGTCCACGACGGTCAGCGAGGGGGCCACGAAGGGCTGCAACGGGGCCACGAAGGGCAGCAAAAGCCCGATTCCTAAATAATCTGTGAGGGAGTCCTAAGCGTGAGCGCGACTCCTGGGTGCCTGAATGTCGGGAGCGCGGCGTTTGAGCAAATCGCGGGGAGTTCCGACGCAAGGGCGCTATTTTTTAGTAATTTGCAAGCAAGTCTCCACCGAGAGCGCGACTCCAGAGCGCCGAGAGAGCGATTCCTGAATAAGTGGTAAGGAAATCCCAAGCGAGAGCGCGAATCCGGAATAAGATGCGAGGGCGTCTCAGGCGGGAGCGGGGGTCCTGGCTAAATTGTGAAGAAATCTTAAGCGGGAGCCGTTGTTGTTGTAACCCTGGGGCCAACAACACAATTTGAGGAGGAAGACCTTCCCAGATAAAAAACTGGGTGCGAGAGCCGGGAGGGGCACTTAAATTCAAAATACAATGTGCACCAGAGGGGGGAATCAGCAATAATTACTCTTCAATCGTGAGAATTCAACAACAACAACAACAAGCACAACAAATACAACAACAACAACAACAACAACAACAACAATTACTAGCACGTGGGGACACTCCGTTCTCACCAGTGCCAGGGTTTTCATAGGAGGCGGGCAATACCCCCACTTTGTGGGGGGGCCGGTTCAAGCTCTACCAAATTTCCAAACGACTCTTCGCCACCACCCACACCCAGCTTCCCGCCCTATGACGTTCGGACACTTCACTTCGTGGCATGCGGACGACCGTGGCTACTATTCAGGGCCCCGCGGCCGACGACGACGGCGTGCGCGCGCGAAGAAAAAACGAATGTGTCCCGCATGGTATTATTTGACAGGGATGATGGCCCTGGCAGGTGCGCAACCGTTGTTGGAGAAGTTCGAAGCACATGAAAAAGTGGCTCGCAAAAGCCCGTTTGACAGAAATGTTTAAAAAGTGTTGGGTTTCGTACAAATCCGCAAGAGCGCGCGGGATGAAAGTTTGACACTTTTGTTTGGAAAAACCATTGGTTTTTTTTTTATGTTTTTATATTAAAATCGCTACGAACACTAAGGTTTTGGAAGGATTTTGTCTTGCGCGCGCGAATGTCCACTTTACCTTATTTTTTGCAAGGGATTCTTGAAGTTTGGTTATGTTAGAACAAGAAATGTCCACTTGCCTTATTTTTTGCAAGGGAAAACCGATCGTAACAACACAACCGGATCTGGATGACATCGTTTTGCCTGAGACTTCCTCACGAAAATGATGAAAATGAGGCTGCGGCCTAGGCGCGGCGGGGGGGCCATGCACCAGGGGTCCCAACAATAATTATTCTTTAGAAGTAATAATGTTCAACAACAACAACAACAGCAACAACAACAACAACAATCATTCCAAGACTGTTCGCTCCTACCGGCCCGCGTGCCATTCACTAGCATATCCCAAACCCTGGATGCCAGCCCTCTTCGTCTCTGATCGTGCCCCCTTTTTGGGGGTTATATTCCTTCCTGGCCACGTGTAATTGGAGAAGCCCCTAAACAGGGAAACGAAATGGAAAAGACAAAAAGAGAGGACGAAGGATCGGAGGAAGCAAGGGATTAGAGGGGCAAGGGGGAGGGACGACGATGATTTGCGCCGCGAGTTGCGATTCAGCTTGCGCCATGGCTTGTGCCAGCCAGTCCAACACAGGTTAATAAAGGCTTCGCAATGGGTCGCACCATAAACAGCGCCATCTAACACCTCTGGTGCTACTCGGCGAGGTGTTGGGGGCGAGTGTGGTGCCCGATCCCATCTCCTGGAGCGCTGCAGGGCCAGGGTGGGAGAGAGGAACCAGCAGGGGCCGCGGGCCTTGTTGCTGCTGCAAGACATGCGGTATTCACGGCGAGCGGGGAAACCGCATAGTGGTAGCTGGCTTTGGCGCTGCTCGGCGAGAAGTGGGAGGCGAAACAGCAATCAGAGGCAGCGGGCTCTGGCACTTGTCTGTGGGATGCGCAATCGACACTGGGACCCATTACGTTAGATATAACGCGGTGGTCACCGCGTGCAAGATAACGACCTATGGCCTCAGTGGGCAGCGTGGTGGGGCCTCTGTGGACTGAGTCGGGGGCCTCAGTGGGCAGCGTGCTGGGGCCTTTATGGGCAATGTGGCGGGGCCTCAATGGGCGCGTTCGGGGCCTCTGTGGGCTGCGTCAGAAAGCCTAAGTGGGCAGCGGGGTGGGGCCTCCGTGGGCGCGTCTGGGGCCTCTGCGCACTGCGTCTGGGGCCTTAGTGGGCAGCGTGGTGGGACCTCCGTGGGCGCGTTCGGGGCCTCTGTGGGCTGCGCCAGAAAGCCTCAGTGGGCAGCGGAGTGGGGCCTCCGTGGACGCGTTCGGGGCCTCTGTGGGCTGCGTCAGAAAGCCTCAGTGGGCAGCGGAGTGGGGCCTCCGTGGGCGCGTTCGGGGCCTCTGTGGACTGCGGCAGGGGCCTCAGTGGGCAGCGTGGTGGGGCCTCCGTGGGCGCGTTCGGGGCCTCTGTGGGCTGCGCCGAGGGCCTCAGTGGGCAGCGTGGTGGGGCCTCTGTGGGCGCGTTCGGGGCTTCAGTGGGCAATTTGGCGGGGCCTCTGTGGGCGCGTTCGGGGCCTTTGTGGGCTGTAAACAATGTGCGCAACAGCAATAACGACAACAACAACAACGACAACAACTGCAGAAACATAATCTTTCAGAGGTCCGCACGGACTTCTGGGATCGGCGCTGGACCCCCTTCACTGGCGCGCGGAACGCGTCAGGGACGGCGCAGGAGGCGCCACAAAGGGGGGCCGGCGCCGATCCAGGAAACCTGGGCGGACCTCAAAGAAATCATACTTAGGCATGCCGTTGCTTGTTCCTCGGTTCACAGCATCGCGCAGAGTCAGTTTAGGAAGCAACTCCTGGGAGTTGTTCGCCTGAGCGAGTAAGGGCGATCAAGGCCGATGAAAGGTTCACTGAGCTGGATTTTGCCGGACCAAGCCTAAGAACAAACCGGATTGAGCTGGATTTAACGGGATTAAGCCGGATGAATCGGGATCAGACCAGATTCGGCAGGCCTTCGAACAGGGAGATGCCAGCGCCGATTCAGAATGCAAGCTCCCAGGAGTTGCATCCTAGGTCAGTGCGCCCCTCCAGGCGGCCATTCGACAACTTCGCAAACGCGGTGCCAACGAATCACCACCGCGCGAGGCCCGCTGCATCGCCGTGATCACATCAAATACCAGCCCCGTGCGCCAGATCACCGCCACCCACCTTGGATAGCTTCGTTTTTCGCTGCCAGTGGCCCAGGAGGTGGACCAACACTCGGAGGTCCGCGCGGATTTCTCGGATCGGCGCTGGGTTCCCCTGGCGGCATCCGGCGCCGCCCGTGGCGAGGTCCGCGCGCCAGAGAGGAGGGTCTGGCGTGAATCCGAGGAATCTTCGCGGACCGCCGAGTCGCTATGTTTATGTCATTGCTTCTTCCCTGATCAGTCCCCTGGGAGGTGGACCAAGACAAGCCACCGCTTCGGAACATGTCTCGGTAAGAGGTGCGCGTGGGAGGCTCAGCCCCCTGGGAGGTCCAGCTTCTTGGGAGGGCCAGCGTTCTGTAGGAGCCCCAGACTCCCCACCAAGCGAAACTCACAGGTGCGTCTTGTGACAGGCAGTGCGTAAAAATGGCTGTATATGCCTACAGTGCCTGGTGCACGAGACTGTCACAGCAGCGCACGGGCACCTCTGTCAAAGGGCCACCTCTACATTTCACCCAAGACGGCCCCGCAGTTGACGTGCCCAGCCGCTGGTCTCCAAGCCCGTGGGGGGAAGGGGCAGGACCCCATACGGTCGGAATGTGTTGCTTGGAGTGTCGCGGCGGCAGCCCTGGCGACTTGCTATGCCCTGCAAGCAGATAGCGTGTCAATCCGCTCCAAGGGGCGGGAAGGGACTGGGGCGTGGCCGGCGCGTGGCGCCGAAACGTGGTGGGCCAAAACCGGCAGTGCGACCCGCCAAGCAAAGGTTCCTGACGGTGGCCCGTGCAGACGCGGACAGGGGCGGGGGGGAGAGAGGGGTCAGGTTTCTTTTTCGTGGTCGGATGAGAAGGCGGCAGAAGAGCCGAGAGAAGGAGGACGAGGCGAGTAACGCAGGGAGAAAAAGCTAGGAGGAACCTCCCGCGTAGGAAGAGTTCAAGCATATTAAACACGATTGCGCGGCCACTGAGCCGGATTAACTCAGATGGAGCCCAAGATTAAGCTGGATTGGCGATACTAAGAAGTGGGAGATTGCCAGATTAGGCCCGTTCCCGACCAAGGGCATACCAGCGCCCCTAAGCAATTAAGCACAAAGGAGCTGCATGCGAATAGAATGGCCAAGGACGGTAGAGGAGAACGACGAGGAAACTGCGTGTGAGGCAGTTGCGCGCCGCAAGGCCTCTTGGATACTCTTGCTGAACCGCCTTGAACACGTCCAGGGTGAACTTCTGCTGCAGCTTCTCGTTCGCGTAGTTTATGCACAGCTGCTCGAACCTGTTGATGGCGAACGACTCGAAGCCGAAGATATCGAGCAGACCCACGAAGTGACTCGTCCTGCCCTCGGGTGCCGAGGTGGCCGCGCAAATCTGGACCACGAGCCAGTCGAAGACGCGGGAGTAGAGCTCCTTCGCGAGGCCGTCGCGGGCCGCGATGGCCATGGGCGCCGCGAGGGGCTTCACGAAGGTCTCCTGCGATTGGGGAGGGG